GTATATGTGTATATATATATAATATATAATATAAACATATACCTCATATATAAAATATAAAGTAATATTTTATTTCATTTTTTCCAAAGCTCAGAAACAAATATGACAAAATGTTAATAATTACTAATTCTGGATCATTACCCAAGAGTCTGTTACATATTTTCTGAACTGTTCTGCATTTTTAAGTGTTTTTCAAAACAAGAGTAAAAGAGGAAAGATACTCCGCTACATGGGTTTCACCATATGCACTGGGAGCTAAGGCCTATGGAGAATTCTCTGCTACTGAATTTCATTTTCTGGTGAATGTGAAGACAACTGAAGTGAAATGGGAACGTGAATAAGAAAACAGGCCTCTTTCTCAAGAAGAGAACACACGAGTGGATAAATGACAGAGAGATGCACGCATACATACATACATACGTATGTATGTCATACATGCGTAGACAGATACATAAATTGATGCATCATGCACATATACATCATAGACATGTGGGTGGACAAACAGACGGATAGATAGATGGAGTGGAATAATGCCCCTACCCTCAAAGATGTCCGTGTCCTAATCCCCAGAGCTGTGACTATGTGACATCCCCAGCAAAAGGGATTTCATGAATGTAATTAAGGGCATAGTCCCCAAGATGATGAGGTATCCTGGATTATCCAAGTAAACCCAATCTAAACACACGAGTCCTTAAAAATGAAAGAAGAGGCAGAAGACTGGGTCTGAAAAGTGAGACTGAACAAGAAGGAGCAGAGACCTGAAGTGTGAAAGGGACCCAACCCGCCTTTGCTGGTTTGTGATATGGAAGAGGAGCTGGTTTGTGATATGGAAGAGGAGCCACTGGCCAGGAGCGAAATTCTGCCAACCACCCAAATGAGCAGGAAACTGATTCTCCACTGGAGCCTCCAGAAGGAATGCAGCCCTGCTGACACCTTGATTTTGTCAGGGGAGACACATATTGAATTCTGATCTACAGAACTATAAAATACTAAATTGGTGTTGTTCACAACAAAATTTATGTGAAACTGGTAATTTGTTATAGCAGCAACAGAAAACTAATCAGGTAGATGGTACGTATGTAGGTCAGTGGGTAGACAGATAGTTAAATAGACAGATAAATAGATAGATCTAGACATAGACACAGACATGGATGGATGGATGATGGATGATGGATGATCAATGGTAGATAAACCCTTCATCAAAAGTTTTCCTGTTTGGTTATCTGCAAAGTAAATATACGTTAAACAAATCCTATGTTACTATTAACTTCCGTTGTAAATTGCCCGTAGGTTACTATGTGAGAAATGGATGGATTTCAATATACTAAAGAGAAAAAATAAGCTGTGTGAAATGGCCTCCTGAACAGTGAACACGAAGCCCCTTTAGACTAGGCACTACCTTTCAGCATTTTCCCAACACTGCCCCTCAGACTGGGCACTACATCCCTGTTTCTGAAGATGGACTAAATATGAAAGAAATGGAGAGGACACTTCTCCAAGAAGCTCTATCATCCAACTATGCCATCCACCACCAGAAAATGAACTGAGTTTGAGACCTCGAGTGAGTCAAACAAATCAGTCATCTTTATCAAATATTTGCAGGCCAAATGCTATCAAACCAGTGGCTTAGTAAGGAATATGCCATTAAAGGGAACTCTTTTCTCATAAGCCCAGCATCGTATTCCCTTCTGAACACCTCCCCAGAGATGTGTGTCCTTCATTAAAAGGACAAACCTTAGCAACCACTCACCATGAGTGGTACAATGGAAGACACTGGATCAGAAAACTCAGATTGCAGCCCTAATTCCATAAGCTGGGTGAGCCAGGGAAAGCCATTTCTGGCAGACACACCCTAGGGTGATCCTATAAGTCACACCTTTGTATAATCCTCTCCTCCTGTGAGTGTGGTGGAAACTGTGACTTGCTCCTAATTAACAAAATATGACAAAGGTAAAGGTATTTTTGCTGATGGGATGAAGGTTTCTAATCAAGTAGATTATCCCGGGTGGACCTGATCTAATCAGGCAAGTCCTTCAGAAGAAGATCTCTGAGGTCAGAGACTTATTTAGGCAGGAGAGGCACATTCTCTCTCCATTGTTGGTGTTAAGAAGCAAGCTACCATGAACTCTATGCCTCAAAAAAACAAATTGTGCCAACACGCCATGAAGGTAATAAAACCAGATGGTGGGAGGGAGATGATGGGAGGGAGAACACTGACGTACAGAGGTCAGGGAAGTCCCGCTGCAATGGTGCTGTCTCTGCTGAGACGGGGGAGCCAGCTGTATGAGGAGCCAGAGGTGAGCTGTGTAGGAGGAGGTAGAGGGTCTGCCTGCGCCAACGCTGGAAGCTCCAGGCAGCTGGAATGAACTCAGTGGAAAGTCAAAAGCCAATAAAGGCACAAATGACGGCTCAGTCATGGTTGCCCGATAAATGCTCAATGGATATAAAAATCTCAGGGGCCTCATCCTCATCTAGGATTCAGACCCCTCCTTGTTCTACCCCTGAGCCAATGCCCCCCTCACCTACCTTCCCACCCATGGGCTCTTGCTGAGAAGCTCACTGATGGGGGAGGCAGTTTTTGGCTCCCGCAAAGCCAGATGTTAAGACCAAGCTCAGTGTAACTCCACAGGGAGGGGCGGGGACTGAGGCGAGGTGCAGAGCACAGGTGGTGTCCACAGGGGCGGCCGCTACTCAGCTCCAGCTAGCTGCTGCCATGCAGGAGGGCAGGCCCAGATTCTCCAGAGCTTCAGGTATTTCAAGACACGCTAGAAATGCAGATTTTTATGTGAAATCTGGTATTTATTTGGCTACTAAGAGTCAAAACTTATAAATGTGGTTAGACCTAAGATTCTCACCCAGGCTATGCTTGGCCCAGGAGTTGTTGCAGACGCCTCTCCAGGCTTCCTGGAGCATCAGCCAGGCACCACCAGCCTGGTTTGGGAAAGTTTCCCCTCTGGTCTCCATGGTGGCGCCTGACACCCAGCAGGTGCATGGTGATGATCTGTTGTATTAGCTAAGCTGAAGTCTGGAGAAGGTGGGAGCAGTCAATGAGGCATGCATGCTTGTCCCTCACCCCAGCTCTCCTGGGACCATGATTGAGGCCCAGAAACAGGCTTGCAGCTGTCACTACATGCAGTTTAGTGCTTCTTCCACATCAGTCCAATGTGGGAGATACTGACGGGGCACATGGCCACCTACCAACATCCCTGTGCTCTCTGAATCCATGAGCAGCTTCTCTTTGGTGTGGCTAGCATTCATTCCAACTGAGAACAGCACCCAAATTCTCCCTGAGGGAGCCATCCCTCCCCCACTCTGCATGGCTCAGGGGTTTGCGGTAGGACTGGATGTCCCTGTCACACAGGCAGTGACCCTTCTTTCATTCACCTATGAACAGCTGGGCTTCTTTGGGGAAGGATGAAATGTGGTTTGGGACAGCATGAAGAATAGCTCCTGCAAGAGTGCTCCCGGGGGCTGGCACACTGAGCATCACCTGGGATCCTGTTAGAAATGCAGAGTCTCAGGCCCCACCTCAGACCTGAGGAACGTGTCTCAGCATCACAAGAAAACCCACACAACTCCAGGTGACTCTCATGCCCGTCACAGGCTGGGGGGCACAGGGCAAGCTGCTATCTACATACAGGCTCTGCAGTAAGACTTGCTGATTCAGGGGCACCTGGGTGGCTCAGTCATTCAGCGTCTGCCTTCGGCTCAGGTCATGATCCGAGGGTCCTGGGATCGAGCCCCACATCGGGCTCCCCGCTCAGTGGGAAGTCTGCTTTTGCCTCTCCCTCTGCTGCTCCCCCTGCTTGTGCTCTCTCTCTTTCTCTCTCTCTCTCTCTCTGGAATAAACAAAATAAAATCTTGAAAAAAAAAAAGAAGACTTGCTGATTCACATCTGGGTCCTTGGAGAGGCTGCCCGATTTGTGTCTCAGGTTCCTCAGGGGAAAAATGGGGGTCACTCTACAGTGCCCGGCACATAGCAAGCCCTCAGTGATGCCAGCTCTGGACACGTGGTCCGGCAGACAGCTGAAACAGGCAGGGGCCTCATCTCGAAGCCTGTCCAGAGGGCACATCACCTCTAGCCACAGAGGTGCTGAGCAGCTGTAGGGAAGAATTAGGAATCTGCACTGCCTCTTGAAGAATATCTCAGCTTTGGGTCAAATACTGACAATGAGGGGAGAAGGCAGGCATGTTCCAGGAAGGGGAGATTAGAGGGCCGAGATGTGGAGGCGGAATTCGGGAAAGCATCAGGGCTCTGGGTTCAGCATGTGAATCTGAGAACAGGAGACAGGGAGGCAACACGAAGTCACCCTGAGCAGGACAGAAGGCCACGGGAAAACCAGACCCAACAGCTTATCAGGCAGCACAGAGGGGTGGGGCCTGGTGAAAGAGTGGCCTTGCCCCCTCATCCCCAGCAGCTAAACGGTTTTGAGCAAAGGGGCAAGACTGTCAACGATGAAAGAGTGGTATTAGTAAAAGCTGTGCGTCCCGTCTGTCAGGAGATGCTGTGCATGCACGTGTCACAGAGAAAAGTCTGGAAGGGAGCACCTTACACACACACCAGTAATGCTCCCCGGAACAGAGGCAGTACCAGGATGCTTTATCATCTCCTCTTTGCTGGCCTATATTTCCGAACTTTTCTGCAAAGGACATGTACCACTTGCATAAATAAAAAAGCAATAAAAGCTGTAAATAATTAACGCACTCTCTCCTCAGGACTTAAACGGGTGGATGTGTTCTCAACTCAGTTATTTCAAATATTTACTGGATTCCTGGCCTTGGAGAGGTGCCCCCGGAAAAGCACAGTCGGGGGAGGGTGCTGTGCAGATGGGCTGATGGGGAACAAACTGATTCCTTTGCCCATGAACCTCCAGACCCTCACTCCTACACAGACCCTCTGGAACCCCGGTGAAGGTTTTCCTGGGGTTAGCAAATCGCCCCTGGCAGCTCCTGACAGGATGAGCACACATGGGCCAGACAGAGGTGGCCACACCCCCTACCTTCTGGAGCGGATGCTCAGCTTCTGTTTGCCACTCCCCCGGAACATCTTCACCTTCCTCCACGGCGGTCCTTTCTTCCATTCAGGCTGGGACACCATCCCTGAGGCCACTGGGCAGGAGAGCTGAAAATACCAGGCATGTTGGCATCATATTGCTCAAAGCCCTATGGTGTCAACTGGAGGCCCAGGGAACACTGTGGCCAGGTCTTCCCCACCCCCACCCCTAGCCCCCAACTCCACCTCTCCAGGAACCCCCGCACCTTGTACCCAATGGCCTTTTGGAGGAAGGAGGGCCCAATTGGGTCTCGGATCCCACCCGCCCTGCCCCTCGCACCCCCATCTGAGACTCAGCACATTCCTTATTAATCACCACTCTCGGGACAAAGAAGAGCCCGTAAGGGTCTGGAGTCCCGGCTCTGCCACTGTTGCCTACGGTTACGTCAGAACGGAGGCTCCAGGACCCTCTTCAGCTGCCCTGGCCCAAGACTTCCCAGATCCGGACACAATCCAGATGTATGGACTCGCTCTCGAGATGGGACCACAAACTTACTACTGGTCACCAAGTGAGAACTCCAGAGCACTCGGCCCCTTCCCTTTTGGCCACTCCCAGGGAACTCGGACGTTAAGTTATCTGATCATAGTAATTGCTTCCTGAGTTCCTGGTATAATAACTCTTTCTCTCTCTCTCTTTTTTAGTTTTTAAGTAATCTCTACACCCGATGTGGGGCTCGAACTCACAACCCCGAGATCATGGGTCCTATGCTCTACCGTCTGAGCCAGCCAGGTGCCTCAATAATTCTCTCCTTGTAAGAGAAGGTGTTTCACCTGGAGTCTCTCAGTAACAATTTCCAGTTTATAATCCTCTGTCACCCACAGAGCTTTCCTGGGCTGTGTTCATTTCACTTTTTGCTGCTGTTACCGGGAAGCTCAGAGTTAAATTTAACGTCTAGTGATGAAAAGTATCTCATCTAGGGTCTTGGTACAGTAATTCTTTCCTTTGAAATGTATTTTTTCATTATTTTGTTTTGTGTTGCATTTTTGGCCTTTATCTATCCCGCCGTGTATGGCAGCCCCACTTCCCTTGGGAGCAGGCTGAGAAGACGGTATCACAAAGAGCAAGTGTTCCCCGGGGTGGCTTCACGCCCCCTCTCCATCATTACGAGTGTGCCAAGCACACTCCCCCAGCCCTGGGGCCCTAGGCAAAGGAGGATTTTACCTTTGATGTCTGGACCTGCCCTCCTTCTCCCAGGCCTGTCTTCGTCCATCCTCCCACCACTGCCCTGCTCACGGGCCGGGCGTCTGGACCCTTGTCCTGCGCGCTGCCACCAAGGAAGTGCAGTGCCAGGTACACAGAAGCAGCCTTTTCCTTCTGCTCTGTGGGCAGAGGCAGGCTTCGGCTCAAGCAACACCATGTGAGTCGGGGCTCAGCCCTCAATGACGGGAAAGGGCCGTGGGCCCTGAAGCTCCACAGGGTCTCTGAGTGGGTACACAAGGCCAGCTCTGGCCAGCTGGGGGGCGTGGGGGCTGTGAGGAAGGAGTGGCAGGAACTGAGCCCAGCCAGAGGCCCCGAGGGAGGGTCTTCCGGGGCATTCTCAGGAGGTCCCAACTCCCTGCTAAGTGCGCAGGGACTCAGGACACCCCCAGACAGCTTGGCCCCCACCACAGTGCTGCCCGCGCAGAGGTGTCGGGTGTCAGGGGGCCCACTCTTCCAGGTGGCACACGTTGGGGTGGGCAAGAAAGAAGCTGTCTCCCTGGGGCTGCTGTTGGATGAGCCATGGGACTGCCCCGCTGCTGGGGTGCCAGTGTCCAAGTATCCTTTCTCCTCTCCCTGCACCCTTTTTCTCCTGCCCCATGGCCTAGAGCAGCTGGGGTCCTCCTGGAAGCTGTCTGCCCCAGTGGGGGCCAAGCCTGAAGCCGGGCAGGGAGGCAAGAGGGTCCCCAGCCCTGACCCGACAAAGGATGCCTGTTGCTCGGGCCACCTTCTCCTGCAGACAGGGTCCTGGCCTTGTCCCGGCCCCAGGGCGACGGGAGGTGGTGGGTGGGTCTCTTCCTGAGGCAACCTGAGGAGGTACTTGGGGGGGAAGGCAGTGTCTGCCAGGGCAGCGAGGACACCAGGAGCCTGAGTGGCCAGGTGGGACTGATGCCCAAGGGACGCAGCTCTAGGACATGGCAAGATCTCTTCCCTCAGCCCCACCTGCCTCGGGGCCACAGAAGGAGCAGCAGAGGGGGCGCCAGAAAGCTCCAAGGGCCTGCTCGGCTGCCCAGCCCTGCCCCTGGCCATGCCATCAGCACTCCCATGCAGCTCCCCTGGCTTATCCCCAGGGTCACAGTCCTGGTTCTGAGATGGTGGGGACGTGGCCTGCACGGGGCCACCTGGGGCCTCTCTTTCTGTTCCCAGAGGCTCTGATTGCTCCTGGCAGCTCAGCTTCTCCACCTTCAGCTTCTTCCTCTCTGAGGGGAGCTTGTCCTCTGAGGGCTGGGGCTCCCCAGAGCTACCACTGGGCCGCCTTGGCACAGTTTGGGTCCACTGACAGGTCTCCTTCTTGTCCCCACCACCACTGGTGCCTTCTTCCATCTTAGGGTCTGGCAAAATCAGCTTGGGAGCCTCTAAGTCACCTCCCCTGAGGGGACCAGGTGCTGGAGGCAGCTGACACCCCAGCTCCAGCCTCCCATTTGGAGAAAGCAGGGGGCTCTTGCTGCCCAAGCAGGGGGGTTCTCTGCAGCTGAGGGTGGGGGGCGAGGTGGCCCTGTTCACCCTAGGCTGTTCACTGCCTCCTGCTCTGGCCACCATCTCCCTCTGCTTGGGGGACTCCATCACCAAGAAGCCCTCCGGGGCCAGTGGACTTTGGCAAGGCCCTGGCTTGGCCCCCACAGCTGCGTCCCCATGGACAGGGGTCCTCCTGTCCTGGAATGGGACTGTGCCCTCATTCCCTGCTAACTCTTCCTGGAGAGGAAGGGCCAGCTCTGTCCCACTACCCAGGGTCATCTCCCTTGCCTTCTTCCCTCCATGGCAACTGGTTTTCATTTTCTGGTAGATTCTCTTGAATGTCTCATTCCCATACACCTGCCACTTGTCCTGGGAGAACATCTTCAGCTTCCTCTGGCTGCACTTCTTACTGCCTGCTCTGCCCTTGCTGGCTGCCCCCACCCCAGCAGCAGCTCTGTTTCTATCCGAGTCCTCTGCGGGCACCAGACTGTCTCCAGTGGGGGGGCATGGCAGGTCCTCCACGGCAGCCTGTCTGACCAGGGCCCGGGGGTGGCCGCTGGGAACATTCACCAGTTGGGCGGGGGCAGGCCTGGGGCTTAGAGGCTTCTGCCTCCTGGGGCAGGCGTCCTGGGGGCCCGGGGGCTCCTGCCATGTCCTGGTGCCCTCGACAAGGGGCAGTGAGTTGCTCCTGGTGATGGGCACACATGCCACAGTGGTGGAGAGCTGAGTGGGGACAGAGTGAAAGAAGAGTGGCTGTGCCTTGTCCGGGAGGATGAAGGTGGAACGGGCCGAGCTGAGGGCAGCGGGTTTCCTCCGGCCTGGCTGCAGCGCCCGGATGTCAAAGTGGAAGGAGTCCTTGTAGGTGTAGGGCATGGGCAGGTCGATGCTGCCTTGCTTACACAGGACCGTCTTGCGGGGCCGCACATTGTCCAGCTGGGAATCGTCCACCACAGCCTGATTGTGGGAGATGAGCCAGGCGATGCGCTCCTCCAGCTGCTTCTTCTCCAGCTGCAGGCTGGGCCCCCCAGGCCCCAGGGCCACCTCCACCTCAGACTCAGCACTGTGCCCCGACAGGCTATGCAGGGGGCTGCCAGGGGCCGGCGGCTGCTCTGCGCTGTCCGAGCGGGACAGGTAGCCCGAGTCAGTGCTCTCACACTTCCGCAGCCGGCCCTCCAAGGCCTTGGCGTCCCAGGGCTTCTCCGAGGACGTGACCACTTGCTGCTGCTGCAGGGAGCACAGCCGGCTGGCAGTCGGGGACGTCTGCTCTGGCAGCTTCCACCTCGGCTGGGAGCCAGCCAGGGCAGGCCCAGGGGAGGCCGTGTGGGCAGAGTCCACGGGGGTCTCTCTGTCAGCAAATGTGGACCCTGGACAGGGAACAGCTTCCAACTTCAGACCCAGGGTCTTGGCAACAGAAGACAGGGGCATGGCAGGCGCTGGGCAGTGCCCAGCACCCTGGGCGCCTACAGAAAGGGGTCTCTCCGATCGGGCCCCACCGCCCACCCTCGGGCTGCTGCTGTCCCCCCTGCCATCTGCTCCGGAGCTCTCCCCAGCCTTGTCCCCCTCCTCCAGGAGGCTGCCCCCACCGCCATCAGACTCCGAGGACAGCCGAGAGTGGTTGAGGTGGGTCTGGGTGCGTCTATGCTTATACAGGTTGCTCTGGGTCTTAAAGGCGATGCCACAGGTAGCACATGGAAAGGGCCTCTCACCCGTGTGGGACCTGATGTGCTTCTCCAAAACACTGGGCTTCAGGCAATCCCGGCCACAGTGTGGGCAAAGGTACTTGCCGGCATTCCGTACCTTGCCCGGGCTCCCCAGAGTGGGCCCCAGGCCTGGCGACAGGACAGGCAGAGTGCCCACAATGTTCACGGTGAGTGCCGGGGCCACTGGCTTCCCTGCCTGGGTAGGGCCGGGTCCTTCAGGCCGCAGCAGGGGGCTGAGAATAAAGGGTATGCTGCCCCCGTCGAGGCTGTGTGTCACAGGGGGGGCACGTGGCTGGAGGCCCCCCGGAGGCACTGTGTGGTACAATGGGATGGGCAGGGCCTTCAGGAACACGGTAGGGGCCAGACCCTGCTCCGGTGGCAGAATGACAGGGCCCAGGGTCAGGTGAGATGAGACCTGCCCACCTGGGGCTCCTGGGTGTCTAGGAGCCAGAGCCGGCTGGCCCCCGGCAGGTGAGAAAGCGCGAGTGAGTTCTGGCACCTCCATCCTGCATCATCTGGGTGGTTCAGGATGCCTGGCGACCTGTGGGCAACACCAAACTTTACTGGGGGCACCTCTCTTCTCTCATCATGCAGTAAACCCTTCCCTGCCCCCACCTGGCATTTCATCACCCCACTGGAGCCTTGGTAACAATCCCCCCATAGAAACAGTTATCCCCACATTAAAGGGGAGACAGAGGCTCAGAGAGAAGTGACTTGACAAGCAGCTAATACATGGCAAATCAGGATCTGGACCCAGGTCTGTCTGATTCCTGCCTCTTATTTCATATGCCTTAAGGGAACTCTTGACCCTTGCCCTCTACACACGATGGGCTTGTTACTGTCATCCCTCAACACCCAGCACAGTACCCTGGGCAGAGGGGACACTTAGAAAACGTGCTGCCTTCATGAAAAAGAAAAGTCGTGTAGCTTAGCAAGGTCCTCAAAGTGCACAGTGATTCCATGCCGGGACTCGGTTTCCAGATCTATAAAAGGGGAAGAGAATCAGCACCTCCCTAGGACCTTTTTCACTCTGGAGTTCTTAGCCTCTGCTATTGGATGGGGGCAATAAGGAAGAAAACTGACCTGAAGGGAAGCCTAACAGATTCAGCAAATGAAAACAGAAGACTCCCTGCTAAATGAATTTCAGATAAACAATACGTAATTCTTTAGTATAAGTATATCCCAATCTTGCACAGGTCATGCTTACACTAAAAATTATGTATTATTTACCTGAAATCCAAATGTAATGGCAGCCTGTACTTCATCTGGTTACCCCACCAGGATAAGGAGCACTTCCTCAACCTCAGGATCAGGCTTGGGTCTCTGCTCAAAGGTGGGGTTTCCAAAACCCCTCCAGATCCAACTGGAACACAATCAGTTCCCTCTCAGCCAGAGGGAAGAGCTGGGCAAATATAAGGCAGGACAGCAAGAGAGACCCAGCCATGTTCTTCAAACCATGGGAGGGAAAGCCAAATACAATGGGAAGAGGCGGGACAGGCCCAGGTTACAGGAATGGGGTCTCCAGATGTTTCTTACTCAGACACCCATCCCCTAGGAGCTCCATAAGCACCCTTTGATCATCCCCCAGCTCATCTCCTTCAGAAAAACAATATATACTGCAGGTTTCTGCAGCAAGCTGGGTAAGGTAGAAGTAGCGGCATGCGGGAACCGGCTCCTAACGGCTCACACCAGTTCATGCTGGCTCATGATAGCTGATTTTCAGGAATTTTGCAAGCCAGTTGTTAAACATGGCCACAGTTAAGAGTTAAATTATATAAACTTATAAGTTATCTTAAAAACAAAGGTACACAACTGGATATTCACATGTAAAAGATTGAAGTTGGACTCCCTATGTCACTTCATATACGAAAATTAACTCTAAATTGACCAAAGATCTAAATGTAAGAGCTAAAACTACAAAACTCTTAGAAGAAAATGTAGGAGTAAATCTTCATGACCTTGGATTTGGCAATGAATTCTTAGATATGACATCAAAAGCACAAACAATTAAAAAAAATTTTAATCATGTTTTATGTAATCTTATACTTTTTAAACCTGATTGTATACCAACTTTTTATTTTTTTTAAAGATTTTATTTATTTGACAGAGGGAGAGAGAGCATAAGCAGAGGGAGTGGCAGGCAGAGGGAGAGGGGGAAGCAGACTCCCCACTGAGCAAGGAGCCCGATGCAGGGCTCCAATTCAGGACCCTGGGATCATGACGTGAGCCGAAGGCAGACACTTAACAGAATGAGCCACCCAGGCACCCCTATACCAATTAAAAAAATTTTTTTACCAAAATTAAACTTTTGGGCATCAAAGGACACCAAGATGTACTATACGTTGGCTAACTGAACATAATAAATTTTTTAAAAAAGTGAAAAGACAACTCACAGAATGGAAGAAAGTATTTGCAAATCACATATCTGTTATGTCCAGAATACATAAAGAATTCTCACAACTCAATAAAGACAACCAACTCAACTAAAAAATGAGCGAAGGACTTGAATACACATTTCTCCAAAAGGAAGGTCTACAAAGAGCCAAAAGCAGAGGCAAAGATGCTCGATACCATCAGTCATTAGAAAAATGTAAATCAAAACCACCATGAGACATGACTTCACACCAGCACATCTTCAGCAATAACAACAAGCTAGAAATGACAAATGAGCACTGCTTATGCGAACGTAAGATGGTGAACATTTTGGAGGCTCCTCAGCAAGTTAGACATAAACTACAATATGACCTAGCAATTCAACTTCTAGGCACACACCCCAAAGGGCTGGAAATAGGAATTCATATAGAAACTTGTACATGCATGTTTACAGCAGCACAATTCAACACAGTCAAAAGGGGGGGAACAACCCCAATGTCCACTGGCGGATGAATGGATAAACAATATGCAGTCCATCCACACAATGGGATATTCTTCAGCCATCACGAGAGCGAAGTGCTGACCCACGATACCACAGGGACGAACCTTGAACACACAATGCTGAGTGAAAGAAGCCAGACCAAAGAGGTCACATCCTGTGTGATTCCATTTATATGAAAAACCCAGACGAGGCAAGTTCACAGGCACAGAAAGTGGATTACAATGGTTGTGAGGGACAGAGAGGGAGAATACGGGGTGGCCACTTGATTGCGCACAGGGCTTCCTTTTGCAGTGATGAGAATGTTCTGGCAGTGGTACAACATTATCAGTGTACCTGAACGCTGCCAAGATGTCCACTTTAAAATAGTTAAAATGGTGAGTTTGATGTTATGTGAATTTTACCTCAGTAAAAAAGGTGCTAAATACGTAAAGCTCATCACTTGCTAATCATTTTATTTCATCTTACCATTATCGGTGCTCGGGGGGTTGTTTCTGTTGACTGCGTCGTCAGGATGGAAATGCCACATGATTGTGCAGCACTCCATATCCTGGTATCGTCCCGGCTTTGGGTTCAGTGATGTCATGTTCACAGCCTGGGACTGGCCATGGTGGGGCTATTCACACCACAGAAATCAGCAAATGCCACAAGCCAGTCTTTTTTTTTTTTTTAATCCTGAAACCAACTCTCCCATTCTCTGTTCCTTATAGACCTATTTAACGTTACAGATCTCACACCACCATGCCAGCTGCCTCAAAACATTTGACAGGTTATAATTTTTTAAGGGAAGATTTAAAGACAAAAATCTTTAGAGATCAGAAGGTACTGGAATTCTTCAGAGCTGATGTCAAGGATAGACAATGGCTTACCTCAAGGCACTGCATCCTTCCTACTAGCCGAAGAATTTTGAGATGCTTCCCAGTAGAACCATCGGATTGAGTTCCTGGCCCTGCTCACTTGGCTTGCTGGTGGATATCCCTGAGACCCAGATCCCTCAGCTCTGAGAACAGGTCACCTGGGCAGACCTACAGGGAGATCTCCTGAAACGGTCTGTGAGAATATGGAGCACGGCGCCAGGCATGGAGTAATTGTCGAAGAAAGCACACAATTAGGAAAGCTCCACTTATTTGGGCTTCCAAGGATATACCTTGATATTTTGAACTATTAACTCGTGACTCCTCCTCCACCCTCTCTTCCCTCCTACCCTGTCTCTTCTTCCCCCATCGGTCAGCAGGTCCCATTCATTGCTCTTGAGAAGAGAGGCTGTCTCGTGCTGGGTCCCCCAAAAAGAGATGCCATCACAAGGATTCTATTTGGGAGGTGACCCTAGGAAACACTCATAAGGGAGAGAGAAAGACGAGGTGAGGGAAGCTACAGAGTGTGTGTCATGGGGCAGGTAGAGCTTGACCCCGAGGGGGATACAGAGACCGTACAGAACACATATCTCAGTGACCCCACACAGTGAGGGAGCGGTCATGCACTGAGGGTCCTCCGGAGAACAGTGAGATGCGGGCCGTGCAGCTGGCAAGCGCACACACCGGGCGGCTCTGGGGGGTCCCGCAGCACCGTCAGGCTCGCAGCGCTGCCAGAAGCTGGCTCCTACAAATGCAAGGGGAGCTGGGTAGACAGGGCTTTGCTGGAGTTGTTGTGGCAGAAAAAGAGTAAAGTCTTCTGGATTCCAGAGCCTAAACCCTAAGGAGGAAATCCATTTCCCAGTCCTCAGTTATGATGGTCCCTGAGTTAGGAGGAGGTGGGAAGGAGGAGAGGTGGGAGGAAAAGGAGGAAGCCTTCCAAAGTTGGCTTCAGGGTGAGTTGAGTGGAGGTGTGACCTGGACCCTACTCCCTGGGGCAATCAGGTGAGGGCCCAGGGCAGAGCAAAAACAGCCCACTGTGCGTGTCCAGGCAAGCAGGATGGAGGAAGCCTATGGGGTTCCCGTGCTCCAGAGTGAATACCAGAGCCCCAGGGAGGGGCCCTGGAGGGACCCGGAAAATTCCAGTTGGGTCCTGGGGGTCCTGCTTGGGGAGCTGAGGGCTGAGCACCACATGCCCCCCGAAATCAGCCCACCCATGGGGGAAGGAAAAAAGCAGCCCAGACTGCCTCAGGGAAGCACGGGGCTTCAAGACAGAAATTCCAGAAAAAGAGTGCTACATTTTTGAAACACCTGCCACGATGATTATTTTCCTCTCTCTGCAGGCTGTTCTGTGATCACAGCAAAATCAACACCCTTTAGGGGCAGCTGATCCCTGCCGGCAAGATAATGAGCCAACTAACACCTTCCTCCAGGGAGATGGCACTTTTCTCAGGGAAACCTCAAAGGGCCGCCACTAATTTTTCTCACTCTGAATTAAGGCGGTAGCAGGTCCTATTATCCCCACTGGACTAGTGGGGAAACTGAGGCACAAGGTGGAGAAGGCAGGCATGTCAGGGAAGGCTCTGGAAAGACCACCTGGTTGGCAAGACTCATTGCCAGGTGCTCGCCTCCTTGCCATCCTGAGGGTCTACCACGCAGAGAGCCTGAAGAACCCCTCACCTCCTCCATTCTGCCACATGTGCAACCCCCCACCTCCTCTGAGCCCCCCAAGGTCGTAATACTTTTTGGTATGAATGTGCAGCTTTACAGGGAGAGGCGGCAGAAAGCTGTAAGAAAGTGACTATTTCCAAAGATCCC